GAGGGGGTTGATGGTGTAAGGGACGGAGGATGATGGTGTGAGGGAGAGGGTGGTGATGGTGTGAGGGAGGGAGGGATGGTGATGGTGACATGAAGGGGGATGATGGTGAGATGGAGGGGGGAGATTGTGAGAGGCAGGGGTTGATGATCAGACGGGGTGATGGTGTGAGGAAGGGGGTGATGGTGAGAGGGAGGAGTGATAGTGAGAGAGGGAGAGGAGGTGGTGAAAGGAGAGGGGGAGGGAGGTGGTGAGAGGGAGAGGGGGGTGATGGTGGGAGAGGGAGGGTGATGGTGAGAGGCAAGGGTGGGATGTGAGAGGAGGGGGTGATGGTGAGAGGGAGGGTGATGGTGAGAGGATGTGAGAGGAGGGTGATGAGAGAGGGGGGATGATGTGATGGTATGAAGGAGGTGATGATGTAAGGGAGGGATGATGTGGGGTGATGATAGTGAGGAAGGGGGTTATGTGAGACGAGGGAGTGATGTGAGAGTGAGGGGGGTGATGGTGTGAGGGAGGGGTGATGTGAGAGGGAAGAGGGGTGATGGTGTGAGGAGGGGGGTGGTGATGCGAGGCAGAGGGGGGTGATGGTGTGTGTGGGGGGGTGATGGGGAGAGGGGGGACTAAATACCTTTTTCTATTCTCTCGTGGTCCAGTGTGGGCTGCCTGGTGTTAGGGTGGGCTCCCTGGTGGTCCGGTGGACATTATATAGAGCTGCAGACCATGTATCTCCAGAGACCCGTCAGAGCATTGCCGTGGTAACCCGCAACAACGTTTTGATTGTCCAGTTCTCGCGTGACACATGGTCTGCAGCTCTGCACACTGCAGCGCTTCAGACCGGTGTCTGCGATTGCTGGCCAGGCAGACAGGAGGGGCCTCGCACACGGCGGCATACTAAGCAAGCCGCCAGGCCCCTCCTGGTGATAGGTCCTCGGTCATTGACAGAGGACCCAGTCACAGTTTGCCCTAAGGCGGATTAAGCGGCCACGAGGCCCCACCCAGCGCAAGGCCTTAGACGGCCGACCTAAACTGCCTAATTAGAGAGCCGCCTCTGGGCATAAGTGCACAGTGCACATGCATAAGTGCACAGATTCAGAGGCTTCCCAATTAGTTTATTCCCTGTGAAGAGAATGTTAGTCTCTTCAGTCTAAAAAAGGTGATGCTTCAAAATAACTGCAGGTTTTGCAAGATCTTTTATATATACTTTCAATTAATGCATGCATGACAATTGCATGTATGTATTCATTAAAGGTATATCTATCAAACAGTGATTTTGATTTTAAACAAAAAATCAGTCTGGAGTGGAACTAATAATGTTCATCAAAATTTTATTAAAATAATTATTTTGCTACTGAAGTGATAAAATCCATCAGGAAACTTGCAGCCATTCTACATACTACAGTATGGCATATTCACATGTTGTCAGTCAACTTGATGAAATGATGTGTGTCCAGGAAAACATGGTGGATATGGAAAACCTTGTAAAAGTGTTGTGTGGATGACCCAAAGAATGGAAGGAGTGAATAGACTATGGAAGCAGAGATTACATGTTGATGGATGGGAGTCTCTTTGTTATCAGAGAAGAGGCACTCAAGAAGACAGTAAGCTTTCTGAAAGAGGTGTGTTATCAGTGGTTCCTTAAAGAAATCTTATAGGACGAGGTCAAGCATTGGATAGTAATGGTGCGGCCCTTGGGAAATCCAGAGAATATGCAATGTGGAAGCTTTACAAAAGACAAGAAAAGCTTAAAGGGACTCTTAAAATACGTCAGACGTATTTTAATACTGAGTGACGGCCACTGGAGGTATTCCTATCAATCAATGTAAACACTGTATTTTCTCTGAAAATACAGTGTTTACATTAGATTGCCTGCAGGGAGCTATAGATCTCACCTGAACAATTACATTAAGCTGTAGTTTTTCAGGAGACTATAGTGTCCCTTTAATTACAGAGTAGAGATGAGAAGGGGTGTATTTGTTTCTGAATTGTTCTGGACTTTGTAAGCTAATGTCAGTAGTTTCAATCTGATCCTGAAAGGTACGGAAAGCCAATATAAGGACTGGCACACTGTGTGAGAGAAGTGGTGAATCAGCAAAATAATCCTGGCAGCAGCATTCTTTACAGATTTAAGTGGGTATGTGGGGATACATGAAAGGCTGATACAGTTACACATGCAAAGACACACAGTATCACAGACATATAGATTCACTCATGCATTAGACACTCACACATAAAGACACAGATTCAGGGCTGGAATAAAATCCTAATGGACCTGGTGTTGATAATGATGGACCTAACTACCACAGTGTAATTTGCTGCCAGAGTAATGGTGAACGGTTAGACAGGTATAAGAGCAGCCAAAGCATTTGAACATTGCTCAAAATCAGCTTTAATTTTTATAGCCAGATAGACCATAGTATATTTGTGTAACTGCAACCCTCCTAAGCTCTCTTTCTCCCACTCAACATGACAGATATGAGGGATATGAGACTTTGCAATTTGTTTGTAATCTTGGGCTGCTGGGTGGGTTACCCTGGCAGTGTAACAGTGTCGTTTTAACATCTCACCCACTACATGTTGATGTGGGAAATAGGGACTGGAGGCTGGTAGTGGGTGCACAGCATAGCTACCAACACAACTCCATTATTTAGCTTCCAGACATGCAATACATTTGCTTTTTTTTTTTTATCCAAATGTCCAAGTCAATAATTACTTAATACATTTCTGTAGCTTTGGGTATTTTTGACAATAACAAAATGTCTACCTTAGGCAGCAGAGTAGATTTGTGTTTGATCACTGTGCTGCTTATTTTGTTTACAAAACTTTTACATTCGTCATTAATTAAACCATTTTATACTTTTGCCAGATAAACTGAAAACTTTTCTTTTAAAGGCAATTATAGATTTTATGAATAACAAAAACACACCTACCAATTTACTCTAAATCCTCAATTACATTTACTCGTTAGGCAACATCCTGCTTGGTTATGTATATAATGAAACATCTTACATGTCTGCATGTCTTTTCTTTTTTGTTTATTTATTAAGCATGGTAATATTTTAACATGAAGGGTACATTGAGACTTCTCTCATTTTAAAGATGTACTGGGGATCAGGCAAAAAAACGGTTAAAATCTGTATAGTTTTTGCATAAAATAGTTGTGTTGAACAATGCTGCACCATAAGCCTGCCTTTTTAGCCACAAGCTCTCACTCCAGAAAAAGACTTCCTTATCAATATTAAAAGCATGCACACAGCTAAGTCACTGACAGTACAGAATGATCTGAACTACAAAACAACCTGCATTATAAGGAGAGGACACGCAGCGAGGCACATAGCATGGATATCACTGCCTGTGTCGAGTTTCTCTGACTGTCTGCAGCCAGGATGGGAATTAAAAGCCGCTCACTGAGTCCTGTTGGGGCTGAGTGTGTGCATACCTTTGATAAGGAAATCTTTCTGGCATGATGAGGCAGGCTTTTGATGCAGCATTCTGCATAACACTTGTTTATTTAGTGAAAACAAAACTGTAAAGATTTGAGCATTCCAAAAATACAGCATATCAATGAGGCCAAAATCTGTCAAATGTACTAAAGTTGTATTGGTGCCTGGAGTGTCCCTTTAAATATTGTGGTTAGGAGAGTCAAATTTAAATGTCAGATGCCTGTAGGTAAAGAAAATAGAAGATATATATTTACACAAGACTGAAAGTAGGCCTATTAAAAATAATAACAAAAAAAATGATATACAGTGGGACCTCGGTTTACAAACGCCTCGGTTAACATAATTTTCGGTTTACAAATAAAAATCCATTGAAAATAATGCCTTGGTTTACAAATTTGTTTTGCAATACAAAGCAAGTTTCCCCAGGATGCATTGCACCTTGGAGGTTTATAGCACCGCCCCATGCATGCTGGAGCCTGTGGGTTGCACGTGGCGTCGATTGTGGAGGTGTTGGAGCGGCTTTTGCATCGAGTTTTGGAGCCATTCTGGAAATTGTTTGCAGGTTTTTAGGGACTCAGCTCATTTTGACTTTTTTCTGGCCTCCAGAACGGATTAATTGGTTTTCAGTGCAGTCCTATGGGAAACCACGTTTCGGTTTACACATTTTTCGCAATAAGAATCTTCCCGGCGAACGCAATAAATTTGTAAACCGAGGTCCCACTGTAATTGTTAAGTGGAGGATGATCCTTCTAGAATATTTTAAGAACACAGTAAAAAAAATAAATAAAAAAAAAAAAATATATATATATATATATAAACAAATGTTTTAACAAATGTAGTTTGGGCTCAAAACCACCTCTTGTTATTGTTACTTCAGTTCAAAAGATAAGCTTGCAATTTTATTTATCACTGTAATTTGGGCAGTTGAAAGTTTTCTTCTCATGAATGCTTTACCACCCACATTGTGAAGAAGTGTGAACTTTAATTAAGTTGTACCATTAACGAGAGGTGGCTTTTGAGCCACAACTACACTAAGACATTGCTGCTGCTGTTGTTTACAAATTTGACATTGCAGATGTAAAATGTCTAAAAAAATTGTCATATTTGACAAATGCATATGTGTATTTGTAGTATGTAACATAGTTACATAGGCTAAAAAGAGACATGCGTCCATCAAGTTCAGCCTTCCTCACATTTGTTTTTTTTGCTGTTGATCCAAAAGAAGGCAAAACAAAACCAGTATGAAGCACAATTTTGCAACAAGCTAGGAAAAAAAATTCCTTCTTGACCCCAGAATGGCAGTCAGATTTATCCTTGGATCAAGAAGCTATTACCCTACATTGAAAAATTATATCCTTGAATATTCTGTTTTTGCAAGTATGCATCTAGTAGCTGTTTAAACATCTGTACAGACTCTGTTTAAACATCTGTACAGACTCTGTACTTACATATGTGTGTGTGTGTATGTTTGAATATATGAGTAGAGTGAGGGTATGCAGCTGTGCAAATAGATGAAGTATTCTAGTGTCAGTGGTCCCTTAATTTAAAATGACAACTGTTACGCTAAAACTACAGGGAGTGCAGAATTATTAGGCAAATGAGTATTTTGACCACATCATCCTCTTTATGCATGTTGTCTTACTCCAAGCTGTATAGGCTCGAAAGCCTACTACCAATTAAGCATATTAGGTGATGTGCATCTCTGTAATGAGAAGGGGTGTGGTCTAATGACATCAACACCCTATATCAGGTGTGCATAATTATTAGGCAACTTCCTTTCCTTTGGCAAAATGGGTCAAAAGAAGGACTTGACAGGCTCAGAAAAGTCAAAAATAGTGAGATATCTTGCAGAGGGATGCAGCACTCTTAAAATTGCAAAGCTTCTGAAGCGTGATCATCGAACAATCAAGCGTTTCATTCAAAATAGTCAACAGGGTCGCAAGAAGCGTGTGGAAAAACCAAGGCGCAAAATAACTGCCCATGAACTGAGAAAAGTCAAGCGTGCAGCTGCCACGATGCCACTTGCCACCAGTTTGGCCATATTTCAGAGCTGCAACATCACTGGAGTGCCCAAAAGCACAAGGTGTGCAATACTCAGAGACATGGCCAAGGTAAGAAAGGCTGAAAGACGACCACCACTGAACAAGACACACAAGCTGAAACGTCAAGACTGGGCCAAGAAATATCTCAAGACTGATTTTTCTAAGGTTTTATGGACTGATGAAATGAGAGTGAGTCTTGATGGGCCAGATGGATGGGCCCGTGGCTGGATTGGTAAAGGGCAGAGAGCTCCAGTCCGACTCAGACGCCAGCAAGGTGGAGGTGGAGTACTGGTTTGGGCTGGTATCATCAAAGATGAGCTTGTGGGGCCTTTTCGGGTTGAGGATGGAGTCAAGCTCAACTCCCAGTCCTACTGCCAGTTCCTGGAAGACACCTTCTTCAAGCAGTGGTACAGGAAGAAGTCTGCATCCTTCAAGAAAAACATGATTTTCATGCAGGACAATGCTCCATCACACGCGTCCAAGTACTCCACAGCTTGGCTGGCAAGAAAGGGTATAAAAGAAGAAAATCTAATGACATGGCCTCCTTGTTCACCTGATCTGAACCCCATTGAGAACCTGCGGTCCATCATCAAATGTGAGATTTACAAGGAGGGAAAACAGTACACCTCTCTGAACAGTGTCTGGGAGGCTGTGGTTGCTGCTGCACGCAATGTTGATGGTGAACAGATCAAAACACTGACAGAATCCATGGATGGCAGGCTTTTGAGTGTCCTTGCAAAGAAGGTGGCTATATTGGTCACTGATTTGTTTTTGTTTTGTTTTTGAATGTCAGAAATGTATATTTGTGAATGTTGAGATGTTATATTGGTTTCACTGGTAATAATAAATAATTGAAATGGGTATATATTTGTTTTTGTTAAGTTGCCTAATAATTATACACAGTAATAGTCACCTGCACACACAGATATCCCCCTAACATAGCTATAACTAAAAACAAACTAAAAACTACTTCCAAAAATATTCAGCTTTGATATTAATGAGTTTTTTGGGTTCATTGAGAACATGGTTGTTGTTCAATAATAAAATTAATCCTCAAAAATACAATTTGCCTAATAATTCTGCACTCCCTGTATTTTAAAAATAATAATAATCCTTTTATTTTTGTCAAACAAATGAGAAAAAAAAGATCCCTATCTTTAGTATATGACAAGATCCCTCATTAAAAATACATACTCCTGGACGGTTTATTCTCTGGTATTTCTGGTCTTCCTGGCTTCTGTGCTTCGAGTAACACAGGGTGGAGACTAATTCTTGGTTTTCCAACACTGTCTGACCCAAGGTGCATTTACAATAGCTAAAGGATTCTGTGTTATACTAAAGGTAAGGATGAACTTTTCTCATTTGTTTTACATATACTTAATTTAAAAACAAAATATATATATTTTCAAAACCTGATGAAAGAATATTAAAAAATAGCTTTGAGGTTAAAATTGTCCTTTCAGCTTGTAACGTAAAGCTATGGCGCTTATTAGATATGGCATAGGCAACATACATTGCAGGACTAAATGTGTCTCTAGTGGTTGTCTTCCTGAAGTGGACCTGTAGGCAGGTGGCTTTCTCTGCCTAATGGGAAATTCAACCCTGGACCTGGTTGCTAGGTAGGATTATATTAACGGGACACTCTGGACCCCTAAAGTACTTTACCTTTATGTGTGAAGAGTGTGCCCTCTTTTTTCCATTTTACAAAATTGCAGCTTTCAATAGAAATTGGCCCTTTTATAAATTAACCTGCTTAAACCCCATGTCTGTCAATCAGACAACAGGTCCTGTTACTTCTTGGTTTGGTTAACTCTGTGGAGGTAAATCCAATAGGCAGAAATAGCTCAGACCCTTGCAAAGATTTCTCAATGAGCTGCATTGGGAAGTCTGTGACTGGACAGCTACAGAAAGTCTGGATGGGGTTAGAAGGGGAGGCTTTGCAAAGACTTCAGACAAGAGAACTGGAGGTTTTTGCAAGCTGTTTTTAGATTTACTCACAGTGGAAATATGCACAAATAAAGACATACGTTTTTCATTGGGGCTATTGGCAGGGGAGAGTCCCTTTAAATACGTGACAATGTAGCATGTATGTACGAAGTGGGGAATCTCAATGCAGCATACTACATAAACTTACCCCATTCAACCCCCCCAATAATGACAGACAACTTAGTATGGATGAAACAGGCCACAGCATTTATTATAACATAAAATAAAATACCTCATAACACATCCATAACTTTATTTAATAATTTATCTTCTTTTTCTGTAACCAAAAACGTTAAACATAAATAAGCATAACTTAACACATAGTGTTATACAGTGACCCAACCGTCCTTGCCAATAACAGACATTTCTCCTAAGTACCACTTCCTCTCACCTCCCCCCTCGTCATAAAATCATATCCCTCCAATGCCTGCCACCAGCCAACCTTATCCACGCTTGATGGCCACGACATCCCAGGTAACCTAATGATAACCTTTTTAAGCAGGGGAGGTTGAGACCTGCAAACATATTGAACTCACTCCATATCCTTAAACATAACCCCTCAAACTTAATTGGCAAGGACATACCCCCGGCTAACTGTGACTAACTATACTAAAGGGGCGGGCGGGCGGGAAGCTGTTTGCTGGCCTGAATCCAAAGTGGCACTGATGTAAGACCCCCCCCACTAACTCACATAGAACATAGTCCCACTCACACACTCTTACCAAACCACTCCCATGCATCTATCCCCACACTCCTACATGTGCCCTTGTCCGCTTAGCTGCGCTATCTCCCTTGGGCCTTGTTCATTGCCAGCCCAGCTTCCATAGTTGGCCAAGTGTGTATACAGATGTGAGAATATGGTTCCAATGCTTACAGTAGAGTTAATTGATTTTTACTTTGGGCTCGTCCCCAGGTGTTCTGTAAACTAGCAACAGCCCTGGGAAATGTAAGACAAATTGTTATAACTGTGAAAAGGCAAATCAGATACCTTAAATAAAAAGGTAGATGGCGAGTTTCTTATTAGCAATGTATGAAAAGTACACCATTTTTAATGTTATATAATATAGTCAAAATAGTCACTCAAAAGATAACATGGCTTTGACAGTTAAAGTCAGAAGATTTTAATGACGGGGGGAAAAGAGAGAGACACAAAAGTGGCAACATTAAATTCCAGCATTATTGCTAATTTATATATGAACATTATAATAGAAAATGGCATTTAAATACCCTGATTTATGTTTTACTGACTAGTCTGGTAAATGTTGATGATTCATAGTATACATTAAATACATGATGATTCATAGAGTTCAGTAATCAATTACTGAAATTATTCTAAACCTCAAAACACATCCCTCCCTGCATGTGAATAGACGTAAAGAGCATAAGCTGGATTTAGCCCCTTAAAGACTAAAAACTAAAACAAAACCTAGAAGTTGTGCTGTGTGCTTGTTCAACTGTAATTGATTGGTTTCTTTTTAAGTGTTCTGTGACAGAGCTCCAGTACTCCGAACGACTACCTCCACCAAGTCTTTTTCTTTGTAGCTATCAGGGACCCTGGAGGACTTCAGACCCAGTCACCGAGGCTTAACTAAGATCACAAACAGCCTTTTCCACCCTGGATCTGGCTACTCTTGTTAATGGAGAACTGTCACCTCAACTCTATCTTTTAATATAATGATCCTGTCATCAAATTATTGTAAAAAAAATTATATTTTGTTAAATTATGTATATGTAAAAAAACAACAATTCACCTTTACCTTTAGTATATAGTATATCTGACAGGGTATTCAGCCCTATAGACCTTTTGTCAGACTGTGTTTAAATTAGACAGTCTGTCTGATGAGGTCCCTGATGAGGTCCCTGCCCTGGACACACTTTTCAAAAGCAGATTATATCCCTTTCACCAAACACCAGACGACACTCGGTGAAGGTTAAAACAGCAACTAACTTTAATAGACAAAGCACGCATATTTTAAACCCCCAACAGCCTCATTTACATACAATAGGGTGCATAGAGTACTATAGTACAAGGAAGGGTGGGGTCAGACAAAAGCAAAGGCTGATGGAAGATTGAGGAGAGACAGGGCAGCTAGTTTAAACCCATCTGGCAGTGTTCTGGGACAATGCACTGCTGGAGAAACAATAGAACTTGAAAAGGGGGAAGGGGAGAGGCACAGACAAGCAATACATTCAACATACCCTGCACCAATAAAGGGCACAGGGTGGCCAAAACACAAAAGGAATCTGGGGACCCATGCATAGTGTCTTTCTTCCATCCCCAGTGATGGTGACTACCATCACATATCTTCTCCCAAAGGTAGACTAACCGGGTACCAGACCTGCAATCTGCCTGTGCCTGGGTTAGTCGGGTAACAAGTCCATGCTGGCAGCCTCCTCGACAAAGTTCCACATAGTTTGTAAGTTTGTCCCAGTCGGGAGCATGGAGCCCTCACAGCCAATCATTCTGTGGAAGTCTGGTTTGGGCAGGCCAGACTGGGCTTCCCGCTCACCGGGTGATTAAGACATAAGAGGGGACTTGGAAGTGGAAAAAAAGGGAGTTCCGAGTTAATCTGCCATGGCCGCACTCCCAAACTCAAACCTATCCCCATATGACTTCACTCTCAGGGAGCCACCGTGACACCTGCACACCCCAGTAGCAAATCTGGAACACTCCAGCCCAGGATAGATTCCAGCATATTTCTCCCCCTTCGGGAGGAGACCAATACAGGAGACCCCAGACCAGTTCAC